GGCGGATTGGAAACGCCGGACCTCCGACACCCGTGCACGGTCGGGGGTCCGGCGTTCCCAAACCGCCCTGCCCCCTCCACCCTTTCCGTACGGGGTTCCGGCGGAATGGGAACGCCGGACCTCCGACACCCGTGCTCGGTCGGGGGTCGGGCGTTCCCGAAACGCCCTGCCCCCGCCATCCTTCCTGGGTGGGGAAGGGGGGGGCATCGGAATGGAAACCCTCGACGTCCTGCCTCGAAAGGATGGCGACGGTCCGGCGGATTGGGAACGCCGGACCCCTCGACCATGCATGGTTGTCTGGTATGCTCGAAAAGATGGCGGGCGTATGGCGGGTCACGTGCCTTCTTGAATGTCTCGGATCACGTGCAAGTGTTTCTGTGTGGTGCTCATTGCTGTTCTCCTGCCCGTCTTTGCTTTGCATTTGCCACCGGCAGGTAAATCTGGTGCGCCGACCTTTGCTCAAAATAAACGGTACGGCATGTCTAAGACTTACAACAACAAACCGTGGGCTCTTGACTGGGTAGGCAGTTTGCATAAACCGGGGTGTGGGGCTGTTATCTTCTTGAGCGATGACAATGGCGCCACTTGGTACTGTTGTGGGGGTGTGGAGAAATCCGATGCGGGCAGGAAGACCTACGAAGGGAGGACGTTTAGGACCTTCTTCCTCACGTTCGTCTTCGACAGCGCTGGGACGGACTGGGTCAAGAAAGACAAGAAGGTCTCCCTTGACCTGCGTCTCTTCCAAGGATACGGCGTCAAGGCTTTCTTCATGAAAGCGTTTGACGTGCGTGGGGACGAAACTGAATTCCGAATGCTTTCTCCGGAAGAATTTCTCAGCAAAACAAATGCCAACCGCGTCACTGGCTGCCTTCCTGTTGTCGACATTTCTTTCCGGATGAGCAAACCTTTGGTCCAATTCAACAGTCCGATGGACCTGCTGCCAGGTGTGGTTAAGCGGTACAGGGAAGACTTCTCGAAGCTGCCACCTGATCAGCAAACGGACTGTGTTTTTTTGCCCTTCGAGGCGGGTTCCAAGAGCAGGCGACAAACGCCGTCCGCGACGACAGGGAAGACAAAGCAGTTGTCGGGTGGGCCATCGGGCGCGAATCTTCCCTCGCCCTCTGTGAGGGGAGGTCGTGATTTGGCTCAAGGTTCAAGCGAGGCAACGGAGTTTGATGACAGGCTTCTGCACCAGCGCAATGTTGGCCGTGAGAATTCCCAGGGCAGTGCAATTGCCCTGGACGAGGACAACGACGAGGACGAGGAAGGAGGAAGTGCTGGGCCGCATGACGACGGCGGTAATGAAGCAGATGTGGAAGTTGGGGATGACAACATGGAGGACCAGGGCGGGCTTGCTGACGAGGACGCCGACACGCCAATGCATGGTCATGACATCTCCCCCGCCGACGCTGTGCGAGCCGCTATTGGTCAGCCCTCGACGTCCCGTGGAATTTCGCTATCGCAAAGCAGGAGTAAGGGTGAGCAAGACTCACATGCAATGCAAGGACCGAAGGCGAGGAAAATAACAAGGGAGACTTCTCCGTCTGCTTCTACTCACAAGAGGCAAGCCAGGACTGACGCTGTTAATGAGGCTCGTGGAGCTTTGACAGCGTCCGAGGAGGCGCGGCCTCCTCGGAAGAACAGTCAAGGGGGGCGATCTGGGGGTCAAGGCGGTGGTCGTGGGGGCGGTGGCCGTGGAGGGGCGCGGAAAGGCTCCCAGAGGGTGAGACCACAAGAGCTGTGGGACTCGGGGGATGAGGGCGAGGGAGTGGATCCTCGCATGCCCGAAGATGCTGAGGAGCCGGTTTAGCGCGTCGCGCCCATCGACACTACGCGTTGTTTCTTCCTCGAATACGACGACCAAGGCTTTGCTACGCAAGACGTCCATGCTCTTCACGTGGACGTCATGAGAATCAAACGCATTCCCCGCGGAAGGATTCTTTATAACCACCGCTCGTTGTCTGAAAACATTGTGCGAGGCATCGAGAATGCCATCGAAAGCTCCATCAGCACGGACCCGGGGCGTGGGAAAGGCCCGAGCTCGTGCTTGCGCCAGTTGACCGCAATGACATTGTCGGCGGCCAGGGAAGACGGATCACGCCGACCGAATTCTTGGAAAGGGACCCGGCAGAATTCGACTGGTACGCTGTCTGTGGTCAGCATACCGTTGAGGCCATGAAGAGATTGGTCAGAAAGGGCTCCCCGGCAGTTAAAGTTTATGGCCTCAACGCGTACTCTAAGGTGCGGGTCGTCTATTTCGGACATGATCAAACACGAGGGTATTTCAATGTCTCCTGCTTCGACAACACACGCGAAAATCGCTCCATGATGTTGTCATTCGAGGACGCTGTCCGTGACATCAGGCAATGGTGGATAGACAACAATAGAATCGAGGCCCCGAAAGCCAAGGTCAGCGAGAAGGATGAGGTGGCCGTTGCACATCAGAAGACGTGGCAGAACTTCTTGAGGGCCTGCATGGGGAAGGCATGCGACAAGGCGTTTGTAAAGCAAGCTCTCGAGAATGAGTACAGTAAGGATTGGAGTAATAAACTCCGGGGATACATGAACCTCGCCACATCCAGTGTCGCAGTGTGGCCGCTGGTCGAGAGGTTCTTCGAGATGTTCAACGAAGGAAAACTGCCAGTTGGCGATGGCAAAATCCCGCTTGACATGCCCGGGAGAATGGAAGGCCGCCTGCCAGGCCCGTACACCGACGAGACCAAGGGACAAAGAACATTGTACCATTGCATATATGCAATAGATGGTCCCAAAGGCTCCACCGTGTCGTAGAAGGACCTTTGTCCTTCCTACTTCAAAAATTTTGGAGATTTGACATGTCGTGAGAGGGAAGTTGCGTTGCTCCTGCTCATGAAGGGGAAGGTGGTCGCAACGAACGTCAAGGTCTTGCCTCCAAGAGTGAACACAGAGCGCCTCCTCGACATCATGCGAAAGGAGCGGTACATGGTGCGTATGTTCAATTATGTTCTGTTCCGCGCCGAGGGAAGGGCGGACGACGAATGGAACGACGCGTTCTTCATGTCGTACAAAGACCTTGAAGACAGGTATGGGCCAAACGGTCTGTGCGCTGCTGAATGGGAGAAGGAACGGGACAAGTTACATGTCAATAAGGTGAAGATGGTCCCTCGACGACTTGGAGGAGTGGAGGAGGCAAGGCAAGGCGCGGGCTTGGGGCCTACGGCGGCAATGTATAAGGAGGCTCCGTTTCACCTTAAGGTCTTCATATACACTGCAATCGATAAGCTCAATTTGCTTCGCGCCAAGGTGAAACGGATCGCCTCCAGCACGCGTCATATTGTGGGGGACAAGATTGGCAAACAAACGACGTTGCTACCTGTGTGCATGCCATCGAAGGAAGTGTTGGCAACGCCAGACGACATCGTTGCTGCAGCGCAAAAAATGACATGCAGGGCCGCCATCGTGGACATCTCATCCTCGAACTTCAGCATGGCATGGAACTCTCACGAATTTGATGCCTTGCACACATTGATGACCAAGTGTTGTGGCCAGAATTGGGTCCTTTTCTTCTTTGCGCCGCAGAAGGTGCAAAGCGATGTTCTGCGTCACTTGTTCCGCTGGGAGGACGTCGAAGTCATCCCCGGGACCTGAAAACGGGTGGACAGGCCACCGAACGACATCACACGATACGGCAATATGGCTACGACGAGTCGAGATATGATGGCCATTGTCCTGCACGCCGACGGAGGGGATCTGAAAAAAGTAACTGTCAAACCCCGACTCCACAACGACCTCACAACCGTGCACGTTGTGGAGGAGAAGTTCGGGAAGTGTCAAGGTAAACACGGTGGGATAGAGGGCGATGATAGTGCGGTGTATTCCATCAGGGAGCGAGAGCCTGGAAAGTTACGTTCATTGTGAGGGTCATTTGTCGGAGAGGCGGAAGGTGTGCTTTTGTTGGGTAGAGCACACGCAGGTCTTGTGTGGGAGTTATTACTGGCAGGTAATAATGTCCTTGCCTGCGACGAGTCGGCCAAGGACATTGCATATCTGACAAAGTTCGTCGATATACTTGTGAAGGATGAGAGATTCGCTTGTCATGTCGAGAAGCCAAGTTGCAAACATCGTAGAAACAGGGACATGTTCCACAAGTTGGGACGCAAGAGACTGAAGGTGTGGGAATACCTATTCCGCGATGCGCCGCAAGGACGGCTTGACGGGAATTACATCTACAGGAAAGCAAAGGTGACAGAGACCCTGAAACATTATCACGGTGCTCTTACTGGCGCCTTTGAGACTTTTGTCGCTCGATGCGAGATCCTGAAGTTCGATCTTCATAAAGACCAGCTGATGTCCAAGGACTACGCTGACCTCGCGAAATCGGGTGATGGCTTTAACCCCGTCGACAGCGAGGAAGACTCTTCGGGGTCCGACCTCGAATTGGGCGATGGCAAGGGTGGTGAAGGCCCGGGCGGTGGCATGGTGCGGTCACACGATGAAGGGACCGTTCGCTCGCATGAAAGACCCGTACAGGTGGCCGCCCCCAGTGTTGGCTCGATGGTGGCCCCCATGGAGGGCACCGGTTTGCCAAACATGGGAATATGTGGTCCCAATGATGAAGATGACATTGATATGCCAGGCGAGCCGTCGAAGCTCGCACCAGGCGATCCAATTCCTCCCGGCTATTGTGCAGATCCGACCACAATTTATTTCTTAGGGGGGGCAAACACGCCCGCACTGGTGAGGACAAGTGGGGCCATGACATCGTGTGGCATGAGGGCATTTTTGAGCCCTGCATCCAAGATGGGGAGTGGAAGATGGCGGTCAAATACACACGCGGATGGCAGACGTTTCGCCGAATGTCAAAGGACACTTGGCTAAAAACGACAGAACTCGCGATTATGTACCGCGTGCAAAAGGAGAATCCAGGGAAGAGCGAGGGCGCTGTCAAAGACAAGGCCAAAGAATTGTTTTCTGTATTGCGAGACAATCAGCAATTGGAGTACAGTTGGAAATTTTACGCCCTGCGAACGAGTCCCTCATGTGGGTCAATCGACTGGAAGGTCAATCAAACTATCGGAACCATGGAGGAGAGCAGCTCTCAGGATGCCGTGCCTTTGTCGGCATCGCCCCCCGTACCCACGCAGGCAGGGCAGAGGGAGGATGACGGGAGTAATCTGGTGAAGACTCAAGAGGTTCACATGACGTCTATGCCGCAAATCTCCGTCGACACGATAGAACCGTCCAAACGCATGGATGTGTCAAATGCATTGTCGTCAGATGCAGGTGCCACGTACGGGAGTTTATTACTGACATCCGCCGCATTAGAAGGCACATCCGAAATGCAGTCAGAGTCAGGTGTTGGCCTGAGCGTGCCAGACAATCAGTTGCAACCGGAGTTATGCACAGACAAAGGTGATGCACAAGTACATCTGACACCACAGGGAGGGGCCGTTGCGGATGGTGGGAAGGGAGAGGATGTGGAGGGAATCCTCCATCCTCGCAATCTTGAGACCTTAACCGATGATTTCGATTATGGGGGTGAGGGTGGAAATGGCGTGGTCAATACGAGGAGAGTGTGAAATGATCAGTGAGGCGGGACAGGGGCAATGGAGAGGGAGAAACCAATGATATGATTACAATGTTATTCTTTTCTTTGTTAATTGAAATCGCACAATTGACTCATTTGTTTTTAGTTTCAAATGGAACTAGTATTAGTCTTCGTAGGCACTACGACCACCTGATTTTCTTTTATGTATATATATATTTTTCCTCAATATTACGTTCGACCGTAGATGTTTAGGATACTTGCCATTTTCGAAGTGGATGTGTGTATGCGGATGTATTCGGACTTGGATCTCTCTCTCTCTCTCTCTCTCTCTCTCTCTCTCTCTCTCTCTCTCTCTCTCTCTCTCCGACTTGGATGTGTGTATGCGGACGTAGAGGGTGGCCAAGGTGTGAGGAATAAATGATTGATTGTATACGTGAATGTGGTAAATGCAAGTAAAAGATTAGAGAAACATTGAAAACCTGCGTTGCATGCATTAGCTCCCACAAAGCATTTGGCCATGCACTCACCATCCTTTCCCCATCCGCCCGCGTGAATGTCGTATTCCTTATGTTTGTGGTGTGCAGTGCAAATGACAACAATTGATACAAGATTGTGCAAAAGAGGATGAACAATGCATCTCGCAACTTCGTCTTTATCAAAGAGGGAGACGGCAGCCTTGACGCGTATCATCCGCGAATACGAGAAGAGGTATCCCGTAGCCACCACACACGACGTATACATGAACGAGGTGTTGCAACTCACTCACAACGATTTCCTTTTACTCGCTGTAGAACGTCAGTGGTTAAACGACAATGTCATCAACTTTTACCTCAATCTCATAGCATTGGACAACTGGTGTAGAATACAACACGTAGAATGCGACGCGGAGAATAAGATAGTTATTAGAGAAGGAAAGGGTCGCATTCCTAGAGTTTCGGTGCTGAGCTCATTTTTGTTCGTCAAACTTTTCGACAATGAAATGAGATATAGAGGTCGAGAGGTAGAGCGCTGGTGTCAGGACGTTATCATAAGTGACATGGACTTGATTATTGCTCCTTTCCATATCGAACACAAGAACCACTGGACGCTTGTCGTGGCTGACTTCAGGAGGAGGAAATTCAAATTTTACGACTCCCTCGACCCCGACATGGAGTTGGTGAGAAAGGTGACCGGCGGGTTTGCAAAGTTTATATTCGAAAGATCAAAATCAAAAGGCAAAGAGGTGGACACGAAACCATTCAATCACATATGGAATGTAGAGGGCATTTCGAAGCAACACGACACGAACGAGTGCGGGGTCTTTGTGCTAACGTACGCATCACTGTTGGCACGGGGCCAACTTCCACTTTTCTTTTTCACTGCTGATGATATACCCGCGATACGTCGTCGAATGGCTTTGGACACAGTGGCTCGTGAGTAGTGTGTATATGATAATCGGTAATATGATTTGGAGGGGGGGCGGATGCCACAAGATGGTTTGTGACAAAAACAACGTATATAAAGTGCCAAATATTACTCGATACGCTGTGCCACTTGACCCTTGCAATTTACCACATATCCCTTACACCTCACCCCTTACACCTTACCCCGTTCACCTCACACCTTGCCCCTTACACCTTACCCCTTACACCTTACCCCTCACCCCTTACACCTTACACCTTACACCTTACACCTTACCCCGTACCCCATACACCAAACATCTCTTTGTAATGGTTTTTGCACCTAAATCAGCTCAAAAATGACAATTTCAATTTCGTTCAAAAAATATAAAATGTTCGTTTTGACGAAATCGCTGTTAAGGGTAGGACCCCCCAGGACGGCGGCAAACGGATTCGGAATTCGTGGCCGTCCAGGCGACTGCCCACGGCCGACGGGGATAACAAAACAGAGGGGACCCCACCGCCGCACGCAGGGAAATGTTGCTTTCGCCGACCTTTACCCAAAAAAAAAATCCGAGGCGGCTTTCCTTTTTGGGAAAGGTTAGGGCCTGGAAGGCCATTCCAAGTCCCTGATTGATAGTTTAATGGAAGGGCGGCTGACGCACCCTCCCGACTATGTATCACCCGCTCTCGCGCCCCCACCGCTTCCTGGGCCTGGTTCGATGTCCCTCCCCGGGCCGAGTGCAGTGGGTTGGTCGACTGGCAGGTTGTCACGCAGAATTCCTGATAAGTATAAAGGAATCATACAGGTTCAAGATGCATTCAGAAAACAGCCTTTGTCATTCTCAGTCATGCAGTAGAGTAGTCAGGGATATCCCTCCTCAGCCTCCTGCCAGCGGCCTGTGTTGTCGCGCGTTCGTTGAACGCGGGTTCCGAGTTCAGTTTTTGAACGTGTTGAAACCGTGTTCAAAGAGCGCTGGTGAACGCTCTGAATGCGAACGCGCAGAGCGCCACCCACGCCCGGGAGGCCCGTCGGGGGCGTTGGGTCGGGGTCGCGGGTGTTGACGACTTGTCTGGGCGCTAATATGGCCCGGCCTGTGCCCCGAAAACCCCAAAAAAAAAAAAAAAAAAAAAAAACAACAAAAAACAAACAAACAAACAAACAAACAAACAAACAAACAAACAAACAAAGGAGGTTGGGGCCCGTCTGTGCGCGTGGGCCGTTCAGTGGGCACTCGACGGAGTCGGCGCTGCACTCCGCGTTCAGATGCTAACCACGCTCCTTCAAACAGGGCGCGCGGACACATAGAGAGAGAGAGAGAAAGAGAGAGAGAGAGAGAGAGAGAGAGAGAGAGAGAGAGAGAGAGAGAGAGAGAGAGAGAGAGAGAGAGAGAGAGA